GAAAACACTGAAATACAGCAGTTTAATGTAAACTAAGAACATTTAGTCAAACTGTCTTTAAGTAGCCCACACATTTTTAGGTACTTGTACTCTTTGAACTTTTTTACTGCCACTCCAATGGCGAAAAGATCTTTAGCCTTCTTTTTACTCCACCACTTTATCCAAAAGCTATGGTTACTAATATAGATTCGTTTTTGATATTCTTCATGTCCATTGAATGCTATTGATCTCCACATTTGTAGATTAAACATTTAATTTTGTTCCTATAAAATTATATTTTTCTTAGTATTTTCTCTTTCTACATACTTTTTCCATCATGCTTGCTATTATGTCTTTGGAAAGAGACAGAGAGAAATATTGGAACAGCCTCAGCAGCTGCTATTTGTGCAAAATAGAGTTTGCTCTGGAGGACAAATGCCCTATTTTTCGCTACAAAGCAAGCCAGCAGATGTACTCTTTGAATCTCATTGAAGCTAACACATTGCAGCTCAGTGGCCATTAGGTACTGACATTGTTCTGGCTTGTGGTGATGTGATTGAGGGAGTCATTTTCACTCTTTCACAGGCTGACTTCTTGTTTCCTCTCACATCCACCCACTACGCCTCTTGTAAACCATCGGGCCTCCTCCTGCTATCCATCCTTACATTTACTACAACTTTAAATCCCTCCTCCACATCATTTATAAAAATGTGATATGTGCTGCACATGAGGCTAAATATATATGTTTCTATACTAAAAGGTTACTGTTTGATATTGGCTATAGCAGTTCCCCACTCTCTGCCAGTGGAAGCTTCTGCATATTACTCCACAGCATCCAGCTTCATCCCACACGGCTCACCTCGCCATCCCACACACTTCTCTCTCTGCAGCACTGGAGTGAGGCTGTGGCGTGGTGCTGCCTTCTGCTTTCCTTTCAACAGTCATCTTGATTAACCGATTTGTATGTGTTTCAATTAAACGTAATTTATGATAATGAGTGGACACAATATTGATTTACTTTCCTTTGAAATGAAGCTGTCTGATAGGAAAACAGTACATATTTAGTTTGTTCATTTTGGGATAAGACAGTTGCTATTAGGGCTGTGGAATTAATCGTATTTTAATCGCGATTATGATTATGGCTTGCGACGATTATGAAAACAGCATAATTGACAAAATACGATTATTTTGCTGGGTGCGCTTTCGCCCCTCCCTAAAAGCCCACTCGGCCTCGTGGGAGTGACATGTGTTGTGAGTGTTCAGCGCGAGCGAAGATGTCAGAACAAGAGCAGCAACTCGTTAAAAAGAAGGGTCGCAGGGAGATTCCCAGTCGATCGCGAGATGTGTCTAAAAATAGAATATTCTGTTTTCGTTAATGTCCTGTAACATAATCTTCCTGTGCCAGAATAATGCATTTGAACGCATCAAAGCTTTGTGATTGGCCGGCGTGACCCCATGTGTCGGGGAGTGGCTGGTGGGCAGGGCACTAGTTCGCTGACGTTGTCCGTGTCAACAGGAGTGACAGTCCGCACACACACAAGACCGCATTTATGGCAGAAGCAAAAAAGCCCAGAGGATGATTATTTTTCTATCTATTCCAATTCAAAGTCCATCTGTCTCATCTGCAATGCGAGCGTGGCTTTATCGAAGAAGGGTCATTTAGGAGCAGCATTTCAAAACAGTGCACAAACGCTACGAGACGGAATTCCCTCCT